TCCACATAAAACCTGACTTTAAATTCAGCGCGCAATTGCACGTTACACTCACGTACGGACGCGCCAAACTTTTGGAATGTAAGTTACTAACTCGGAAGCTAGAAAAGCTTTTTTCTGACAGTCGTGGTGGCCAGTGTCAATTCTTTTAGCTAGAAGTATCTGCCGGAAAAAACAATGCTGTTTACGACAAAATCTCTGGGGAACTGTGCAAAAAAACGCTTCCTCGCATCGGTGTGGTGGCCAATTATATGAAATTTGGGTGATGGGCAAGAAACATATTTTTATTTTTCCCCTGGTCACACTTTTTGGGAATTGTTTTCCCAACAGATTGGTCATTGGCTCAGTAGAACAAACTAACATTTTTGAGGGTTTTAGTACCTCATTTTATTTTATTACGTACCTCTTTCCGCGATAATGGCTTGGTATCACTTGACTAGCTTTTTGATGACAGCAGCTTCAAATTTCGTAACTGATAAAAACCCAGTGAAATAAAATAATTTAATTTTTTTTAAATAAGGGTAAAGTGAGGTAACATCCAGAAACAATGATATCAACTTCTTCAGGGATTGATCGCTGTCTGTCAGTTTTTGGAGTCAGTGGGACGCTATAGCGATTCACCATTTTTGTGGACTCTTTATGGTAGCGGTGAATTGCCGCAGTGTTTTTGTCGGTTGTGTGCTGTTTTTGGTGGAACGTATTGTTTAGATCGACAGATAGAAGGCTTTATTATTAGCGACAACAGGTATTATTTACGTTTTCTGGAACTTTTCTAAACAGTGAAACGTAGCGAAAATAGTGGGTACAGGTTTTAACCTAGGGATGAAACACAGGAAGCTTCTTTTTTTACATACTACTTTTCACATGATGCTTTTACATGACATATGGTTTACATGCATGTCCCACTCAACAATGTTCTTTTTTCCCCTTTCGAAATACCTCGACAGCCAAACTAGAATCCTTCCTGATTGGTTTTGGGTACCGCGACCATGTGAAACCATAGGAGCTGTTTTTCATGATGTAGTGGTGTATTTTGTTCAAGGAGCACATCGGGAGGTAGAATGATCGCGGAAAGTTATGGTAGTAGCTTACTTAATGGGATGTTGCAGGGGCTTCAATAAAACACCATGGAATTAGCTATGCATTCATAATTAACAAAATGTAGTACGTATGATGTGGGTAGGGTCTCCATGGTCCGTACTGTCTCTTATTTTCTGACCAGCACAGCTGGCGATCGCTTTCTTGTTGTGATGACATAGATGAATCCGGGGGTACGGGGCAAAGGGTCCAGCTACACAGGCACCGGTGCTGCAGAAGTCTGATCATTGGTGCATGGGCCACCTGGGTTTTCCATTGCTACAGCAGTCTAAATTCGGTTATACGAAAGGAAAAGCACCATTAACAATTTCAGAAGTAATTTGCAAAAGCTTCAGATTATCGGAGAAAATTTTCATCGCCCCATCCCCACACCATCCGCCGCTCCCCCGCCCTTCCCGTCCAGGGGTCCGTCCTAGATCCGCCTATGTGTGTTGAAAGGATTCGAAATTAT